TAAAAAACAAAAATAAATTATTAGGTATAAGGGAAAGAAATCTTAAACTCTTTCTGCAAAAACAGAGACATGGCATTTAAAAATTAGATACACACTATTTGAGAAAATAAAAGCTTTTGTTAGCATTAGACTATTATTCTAAGTAAGTGTTTTTGGGACACTTTATGCCTTTATTATAAAGTAGACAGTTGAGAGACGATAGTAAATGAGAGGAGAAAGAGATGGGGATTAATGGTTCATGATGGGCCAGGGTGCCACTGACACAAGTAAATACATTGATTACTAATTCAGTTACATTTTAGATACCACAGTGTGACAACCCTCCTCCTCCCATACACTAGGTGTCCTTGTTGTGTGTGTGATGATCTGTTACAGGTGCTGATTGGAGGGTCGTCAGCTGGATGAGCCACACCTGAGCTCTTCATTCAGCAGCCTGGGGCTGGAAGGAAGAGCCTTGTTGTCACTGGTGTAACACTGTTGCGTCGGTTATTGTTTGAGTGCTGTTCTATTGGTTTACTTATGTTTGCTACAAATAAATTGCTTTCTTTAGTAGCAGCCAGCTCGTTGTCTTCGTGTTTTTGTCTCAGTCTCTGAGCCGGGCTGTGACAGTAAACAGTCACATGTACTCAGAGGCATAAAGTTTGAATGCTATGCACACTAAAATAAAAAAGAAATAATGGAAACATTTACCACAGTTCAATGCACGGCGAAGACATCACTTACCATTGGATGTGTACCGTGTTGTGCTTATCGTAATTCGGAAGGCTATACTCCCCCACTGGTCATACTGGTGCATTTTCAACGAAAGCAGCTATTTAACATTCCATTCCAGACTGCATTTCTGCAACAGAAAATCAATTTACATTTTTATTAAGTGGTGCTTGATTGAAAATGGTACAGCTTCCTTTGAATCTCAGTCACAGACACTCCAAGCAAAGGTCAGCAACTTTGCCAATAGAAAAAAAATAAAATAGAGAGGGATTTCATTAAGGTTTAAAAACCTCGGCAAACATTTCCACCTCCTTGGAAAATATCAGCGGCTTTCATTAGCCATCATTCACAGAGTGGATTAGATGGAGTGTGATGAGAAAATGCGTGCAATTCTGGTTTGTTTCATCTTAAAGCAATGGTGGAGAAAATGGCTGAATAATACATGAAATAGTGTTTTAATTAGCAGGTAATGGAGGGCACTTGGTAATTAAAATAACGTCATGTTAGGAAAGGTCAGAGGCTGCTGCTGATGCTTGGAGTTAGCTAGGAAGAGAGCAAGTGATCTGTGAACAGGAGAGTAAAGGCGCCCACACTCATGCTGCATGTGTCATTCTTTGCATATGTTCAAAGACTTCTCCTTGATATGAAGTGTGGATGTGAGATGTGTGAATTATAGCTTTGAATTTGTGATCAAAAGAGTCTTTTTCAAACCTTATGGTTGATCTTTGTATGATTATTATCTTGATGGTGTAGTTCCGACCTTCTGCCGTCTAATTTCCCCCAAATTGTATCCAGACAGCAGATACAAGTCGACTCTCTTGCATTGAAATTCAGTTAGTGAAAGATTGAATGTATTTACTTTCCCCAAGATTGTAGGAAAAAGACAGCACATCAGTGGTAATGGAAAAAAAGTCACTTCATATCTTGGTGATGTTTTGGGTAATTTTATTTACAACTAATAAACAATTATAATACATTAATCCTCTGAATGTGATGAGTTTGAATATGAAAACTTCATTAGATTATATCAGTGAGTTCTCCTTTAAAAGGCCATATCATGCAATTAATACTCAAAAGTAGAAAAAAAGTTGGCACAACATATTAATGTTGAATTGAAATAGAATTGCTGACAGTTTCAGCCAAACACCTTCCACAGAGCACGACTAGTGTTTATTGCAGGTCACTCACACAAGTCAATTACCAAATTCCACACAGGTGTGCAACACCTAAAGTGAGCCGCAAACTCTCAGAAAGAAAACAGGTGAGTTGTATTGAGAATGTGTCACTTTTTTCTACTTGGAGAATTGATTGGCCGTGTCTGATATCGCTCCTTTTTACTATATAGTGCATTATCTTTACCGTCGGTTATTTTAGTGGCCAGATTCTGATTTGATTGTTTGCTTTACATCATGCTCTCAATGGAAACAAAGAACTTTCCATGTGCATGGGATGTACACCACTTCCTGCTGACAAATCCACAATGCAATGTATCACATGTAATAGACATCCAACAATACACCTGTTAGCAATTATGCAAATTACAGCTTCAAATGCAAGGCCAACAACTGAGGGACAAATCCAACAGACAAAGAACACATTATTTAACAAATAGAAAAAATTTAATTTAATTAAAAAATAAGGAAAAGTAAAGAGAGAGAGAGAGGAAATAATATAATAATAGTGGACAAATCATGCCATCCATGACTTAACCTAGAATTGTACATGAATATCAACAAGGAAAATGGCAAGCTATTTAATGTCCACAAATCTTTACAGGATAATGCTTTCACCGCACTTCACCTCACTCACTAATGATTCTCGTCAGCCACATTAAAACCAAACAAAATGCTTCCTTCCTAACACTCAGGGGACGATGGAGACTAGAGCCCTGCCGTTACCACGCATTCCTTGACAGACAAATGGCTCCTCGTTAACTATACATGTTAGAGAGGGAGAATGGGAAATAGTTAGTTGAAACCGTGTCATATTGGATCAACTCACACACCATGTGTTGTACCTTCCCTAGCATGTGGGTGCAATGGATTTTGAACAAACTCACAAACTGGCCTTTGGCTATTCCCAGCCTCAGGAACTCAAAAGCTGCCTTGATGATAACTCGGTCCGACACTGTGACAGCAGCCGGGGAACAAAGGTTGACACCACAAGCCTACCCATCCTCCGGTAATACATATTGCTCACTCTTCCTCGCACACATACACAAACACCACAGGGGACTTGTCCTGCACCCACACTGAAATCACTGAAATCTCCCCCTCCAGGGTTTGAGTTATTACCTGCTTCCATTATATCTTTCACGCAGAGCCAATAAAGCTTGAATCGGGTTATGAGACGAGAACTAAGAGCTGAACATTTCAACTTTTATTAAGCTGTCGGTTACTGTGAGAAGAAGAAAATACACACAAAATGTACACAACTACACAAAGACAGGAACAGGAGAGCGTACGAACAAAGACATTTCTTCCAAGAAGAGCAGATGGGATAGTGTGAGGGAAGAAAAGCTGGAGGAACAGGAGGAAGGGAAACCAAATGAAAGGGAAAGGAAATGTGAGTCGACAAGTGGTGAGAAGTCAGCAGGCAGCGCAGGATTGTAACTGTAGCCTTGAAAGTGTATCAGTGCACCCAACAGCAACCACCCAACCATAAGTACTATTTACAAGATGTGAAAGTACTGTTATTTTTGTGTGATCCGTGACACCGCAGAGAGCAGGGGAAGTCAAGTGTACTCCAAGACAATGTGAAGAAATGCCACTCCACGGTTTTTACACACACACACTGCGCTGGTATAAAGGTCACTGGTCATCTTGGGGGGGTCTTGATACTTTCTTAAAAGTTTGTTTCTCGTTTGTGTGAAATGCTTTAGAGCTGTTAAGCCGGCGGACACACATGCACTCGTAAGGGCTTGTGCACATGCAGTGAAAGTGTGTTTTGTGTGTGTGTGTGTGTGTGTGTGTGTGTGTGTGTGTTACTGCAGACGTACAGCAGACAGGCCTCTGGAGTGAACCGGGAAAAATGCCTCAACTGGCGCCCTAAGAGAACATATGCAAGCAAAATAAAAAAATCACACTGTACTCGGGCTGGCTTCTCACAGTCTGGACATATTCATTCATTTAGCGCTCTACATTTTGATGTGTTTGTTTGCTCCAGGCAAACATTTTCAACATGGCACAAAACAGCAGTCTTTTGAAGGGAAGGTTGTGTTTATTGGGATGAACAAATGGCTTCCGGAAGTCGGTGCGAAGCCTGCAAAGCTCTGAAAGACTACAAACTAGAAAAGCCCAATTTCTAGTCACACAGTAAGGAAAATTTAAGTTCAAATGTTGCACAAATTCTAGATTGAACACTAAATGTATTGCTGATGTCTGTCTGTAAACCAGAACCTATTTCATGTCAAGCAGAGCTTAAGAGGTTAAAGAAATAGATGGAATATTTAATGTGATGCAATGATTAAAGTACCAAGATTAAAAATGTGCATTATGTAGAATGGCCCATTTCAGAATGATATACATATTACATTACTTGATTAAAGTGATTGATGCATTGATGTGTAGGTTACATCACTTTAATGTTGCAGCTGGTAAGCTGGGATTGATTTGAATTACTTTATATACTGCTGGGTATCTTCAAATAAATTTGCATCAGAGTGAAAGATTTTTTTTCCAAACATCTAACAAATAATAAGAAAACAAGACAAGAATAAACAATAAAGTAAACATATGCAGCAAATTCTAAATAAACTAAATAATAAAATTATATACGTTTATAAAAGGAGTAAGCAGAAGTAAACACTAGGCCCCCTTTCTATAACTAACTTACATTTTGAACTTGATGTTTCAAAGTTTTGTTGATATGTTTTATTATTAATCTTAATGAGCAAAGGTTCCTAATTAAAACAATAAAATAAGTGTAGTGGAGTAAAGTAATTGGCCCTATAGGCCTACAATATCTGCCTCTGAATTGTAGTGGATTAGAAGCGTAAATGGAATCAGGCCTCCTCAAGCACCTTAAAACAGCACGTAAGTGCGTGCACCTGAGTAAAAGTACTTCGTTACTTTCCACCGCTGCTGTGATATATCTGTATGACGCTGAACTACTCATCCAACATGGACCAAATCTGAGCGCGTTCTTCCACCGTGTGTTCGAGTCACGTTACTGCAGCGCGAGGCAGTGTTTACATTTGCTAGGCAACGAAATCAGATCTATACTCACCCGCGGCTCTGAAAGCCTCTTTGTTTTGCCATCCCTCGGTTTCAGCGGCGATTGTTTTTAACATGGCGGGAAAGGAGAAACCGAATGTGGTCCATCAAAATGCAATCCACGTTGAGACAGTCCGCAAAGAGCAAAGACACCAGAAACTCCACACGGAGTTTGGCATCAATCCACACCGGAAATGTAAGAGCGTTAACTGTGAAAACGACCGGTCTGCACAACGTGTATTCTAACTTTAATACTTAGTAATTGCCGTTATTACTTTGGTACTTTTACTTAAGTGAAATCTAAAGGACTTGTACTGTGTATATTACGTTTTTCTATTTTAGTGCATGTCCCAGCAGACAACCCCATGTCTAGGAAACCAACTGAAGCGATTGCAGAGAACTGTAAGTTTACATATACTTTCTTCATACTAAAAGGGAAAACAAGTTTTGCTTTGCTCCTTTACTCTGGATACATTTCAAATAACTATAACATTACTCCAGACCCGTGTGATCCCAAACACGATGAAGCAGTTATAAACGATGTGTTGGAGAACATGTACATTTGTTTTCTTTTTCCAGTGGCCTTCATCGAGGCCTTCCACAAGGCCCAACTGGAACCCAACAAGAAATATTCAATGCCACAGACGGCGAGTCACGAGATGGGATGGCTGTCAACTCCACTGGTGAGGAAAACTCTGCTCTGACAATTAGAGTTAGCGGAACTGCAGCACATCAGGATGGCATTGTGAGCGTAGAGCCTGCATTTTAGCTGGAGGACCTGAATTCAATTACATTTAATTCAACCATCAAATGCATGAAGGTGTCTTGTGTAATGGTCATTTAAGTCGTTATTTCTAGATCTTACTCAAATGCTTATTCCGACCATTTCCCCCCCCTCCAGATCCCAACAAACTGGAATGACAAGAGATTGAATTTCCACAGAAGCAGCACAGCCATCACCAAAGAGAAGTAATCTGCCCTGCGTGCATCAAAATAAAAGCAAGACAGAAATAATGCAAGCAATCTTTGTTCAGATTTATTTGTTTATCATACAAACATACAGGTGTCATCGCCAGAAGCTGCTCTTTAGCGTTCCCATATTAGCTAGCTAAGTAAAACACTTGCAGGGGCAACATTTGCCCGAGTCTATACAGAGCACACTTGCCCATGACATACTAATTCATATTGAAGAATAGGAGAAAGGGCAAAACTATCAGCTGCTCAATATTATAAAATGTCATGTCACATGGGAGAGAAACAGTGAGTCAAGGAGCAGAGTTGGAAAAAATAAAAGTGGATATACCAAACTCCAAAAGCACACACAGTGTGGACAGCAAGGCAGTGCAGACATTGAGGAGTAATCACAGGAAGTGGCTTTAAAACCACCTTATAAAATAGGCATATGGAAAATGAATTATGTCCACAGACAATACAAATTGGTCTAACAACTAATAAAAGAAAAGAAGACATTCTATTAACATTCAAATTCTCTCTTTTCGGGAAAACAATTTTGTGGTGTGGGTAGCTCTATGTAGTCCACTCTTGGGTTTACCATTTCTGCAGAGGTAGACCTTTTCTACCAGTCATGTCCTTCAAACAGCTTCCTCAGCAATATCGCAAGACGTCTCTCTCTCTCTCTCTGGGACTTGAAGGGTACTCCACACTTTTTACTGAAGGCATGTTATACAAAAAGTTTAGAAGAAACGCCCACGTTCTCCTAAATGTCACCTGGTGGAGAGACTCGAGAAACAGGTGAGGGAACTCCTGCCTAGAAACAAGGTCCAGCTAGCCTCAGTCAGTCTTTACGAGCGAGACTTTATCTTCTTGCGCACAGACTTGCCCGGGCGTTTCTGAAAAACAAAGTGAAACATTTTTTTTAGCTTCTGCACACTACGGAGCACACAGTAAAATCTAGTAACTTTATAATTTCCTTTTGACAATGTTTCTATATTTATTAGCTCGGTAAGCAGCGCTTGATGTGTGTGTGTAACTCACGTTTTGTTTCCCTCCTTTGGCGCCTTTCTTCCCTCCCTTGCTGCCCTTTGCATTAGCCACTTTAGCTCGGAAACTGGAAACGTCGTTGTGGCTCTCCTTGGTGTTCCACTTCTTTCCACTCTTCTTGCCTCCGAAGCCAAACCTCTGGTCCTTGTATTTTCTCTTTGAATTGGGGCTATCGGAACAACATAAAAGGGTTTAGCTTTTTGTGAAAATGACACAAATGTTTAGAGTTAAAACACATTACGCTTGATAATTATTTGTGCACAGCTGACATATAACACATTACCCCTTCTTGGCCGCCGCCGCCGCTTTGTTGGCACCCTGAGGAGCGGTAGAAGAGTCTTTACCCTTCTTCTGGTCTCCTTCCAGGAAATCCAGTTTGTCGGTCATTCCTTGGAGTGAGGATGAACAGAAATGTTAAATCTCAATCGGACAAGATTCTCACACATTAATACTATTAACATAGATAAACTGTATGTTATTTTCCACAACCTTTTACAGAGGTTCATTCTTTCCCCAATGCACTATAAATGACAGTAATACATTTTCACTTTTGAGTATGAAGTAAACGATATGAATAAAAACCACAGTTCTGAAACACTCACCTTTCTGGTATTTTTTTACAGCAGTCATCATAGCCTTCTTCTCCTTCTGCCTCTTCTGAATCACTTCTACTTGGACCTAGCACACATTACAAATCCATGTTATATTTCACACCAAAAGAGGACATTTGGTATCTATTAGCATCTGGTGAAGTAGCGTCAAATCAAAGGTTGAAACCCCAAAAGTTTGCTGGTCTAGCATTTGCAGTCTTTCCATTATCACCACACAACAATGACAACCAGTGTTAAGGCAGATCTCTAGTAAACATACATGGGCAACTATACCCTACATGTAACAATACACTTTAAAGACTGGACCCCAAGAGCGAGACATTCAAGACTTGTTAGAGAAACAATATTCTTAAATGGGGACCAACCTTTTTGCCAAACTTCCTTTGCTCACGCAGTTTCTTGGCCTTCTCCGACTTCTCCAGTATCAGCTGCTTTGAGATCAGCTTCTTCCTAATCTGGACGGACGAACAGAAAACATCTTTGTTTGTGCAAATATTTGGATTTAAGTCTGAAAACAGTTTTTTCGATTAATTAGAAAATGTCAAGTGGTGGTGTTGCGGTACAAGTCAGGCTACACGTCAATATATTCAGTACACCACTCTGAGTTTAAGATAACTAACAAAAATAGAATTAGGTTGTTTTATTTAAAAAACTAAGAACAAAAAGCTTTAGGTCTTGCAGCTATGCTGTTAATTGTGAGCTTTGGACTTGCTTTGTCAAAACTGCATGTGTCATTCAAGTGTAACATTCAAGAACCAGCTCACCTTCTGCATCTGCTGATCGGACTTGGACATCTCTGCGAAGTAATCGTCAGGCCTCTTGGTGGTTATGCCATGCTTGCTGAGGAGAGGCAATGCATCCAGAACTGTAGCTTGAGCTTGACGGTAGCTATAAACAAAAAGAGATGCATCATGAATTGGTTAAATATGCACTCTGTGGCAGCGTCAGATGTTTTTTTAGTGTGTAGAAAACTCCCATGTATTCTCAAAAGCATATAATTTGGTGATGCTTTTTCAACAAGTATCAATTATTACACTGCACTGACAAATATGTACCATTCAGTATGTTGATTACTGGAAGAAAACATCAGATGTAGAAGAAATAAAAGAACAAATATGTCTAAAAGAGAGAATAATCAATAATGAATCAAGAGTTTCAGATAAGTGAACATCTGTAAAGTGGACACAGAGACTTATTTCATCACGTGTTGCATCAAGTTATGGTCACTCACAATAACATCTCTCTCTGGAAATCATCATCCGCATCGACGACTCCATTTTTCACACTCGGAATGTTCCCTTCAGTGTTGGAAAAAACGTCTTCAGCCGGCAGGTTGGTCATATCCAACCTCTCCACCCAGGGAAGGTCTTTACGGAGTTCAGCGAGGCAATGTTTCAAACCCTCCTGCATCACAACACACAGCGTATTAGCAACATTTTGTAGACGCCATAACTAACCACTCATAGCAATCTAACAAATCTGGACAGGAATTGTAACATGTTTAGGATTGAACCTGTTATTGTAAATTTACTCACCACATTGTTGACAAACTTTTTGGGTTCATCCACCAAAACGTTCATCCCCGGCTTCAACAACCCCTTTGCAAAGGCTTCTTGAAGCTAAAGAACACAAAATGCGTTACAGCATATTCTCTTATAATACCTTGTTTTGACACCAGACACATTTACTGCCAATGCATAAACAAATAAACAGCATGCTGAACCAAAGTAACAGTCCTATTGAACCAGATTCAGAATCAGGTTTATTGCCAAGTAGGAACTTGAAAAAGCACGGCCTGCAAAATTCAAGAAACATAAATATAGAATAGATAAACCAAAGAATATGACACAATGTTAAGTAAACATAAGCACACTTTATCTGTTAAAAAAATGCAAAGGCCTGCACAGTTTGGCACAGGGAATGTGCAAAAGTTTAGAGTAGGAGGTAAGGTTAACGACTATGTGCTATGTACAGAGTAAATACAAGGCTGTTTGAAATAAATATTACAGACTCCGACCGTGTTGATGTTGTGCCTTCACATAACGTTACTGTAAACAAGTGTCAAGTTTGTCTAATCTACAATTTGGTATCAATCAACAACTATTGGGCACAGTAGTTTTACAGCAGTGAGATTTGGCTCGCTACGGTTAGCTAATGTTAGCATGTCAACAGCTCACTCACCTCATCGTCTGATAATTCACTGTTTTCCTCCTCCGACTCTTGTCCGAGCAGCGACTCCTCCTCTGCCGAATCCATAGTCCTGCTATCAATAATCATAAGGTGACAATATGTGATATAGTGGCCTGTAAACGTGAAGAAACCTGCCGTAAATGTGAGCACTGCTCCTCACATGCACTGAGCGTTTCACGTGGGGCGGAAGTGACGGAGGGTAGCGAGGTTGAAGGTGGCACCAACAGTCCGCCGACCGGAAAGGATGTTTGAAATCAAAGGTTCCTACATGGTGGGGAAAAAAAAATCTCATACAGGAAAATACGGTGGCGTCAATGGTTTTATTTATTCTGTAATACTTAATATCTCGTTAGTTGTTATTTTCAGAAACTTTACCATCGTGTTTTTATTTTTATTTTATTGAAATTCCCCCTTCACTCCTCAATATAATTAGTAACGTTATATGTTGTTGTTATTATTGCAGTTCTCAAAAGACCGCACACCTAACATACAGTATTTCACGTACAAAACACACATTTTATACCGAAAACTCATGTAAAATTTAAATTAGTAAAAATAACTTTACTTCAAGTCTATAATATCAAGAGACTCCTCTTGGGGGCGCTGTCGTGCACCTCTTCAGATTGATGTGATACATATATATATATATACTGTATATATAGCTCCGTCATGCTCACACACAGAGCATATATTTACATATTCAAATCAGAATATAATAAAAATCTAAAAACAAATATAAAGTTACAAATACTTCTTAGATATAGCCCAAGTTTAAAATACAGTAGTATTTATGGTGGCGTGCAGAGGGTGAGGTTATGATATCAATGTCCACTAATGTAGGCTAATGCCAATAAAGGTTATTGGCATGATTTAGATCGATAGACATACAGATAGATATGGTTGTAATTTGTCGAGGAGCAGCCACAACCTTGTTAAAGAGGTAAATGCATCTCAAATAATCTAGCAACTGTAAATGAAGCCTCATCAGTTACACTTGCCACCTCATCAAGAAAGAAACTATCAATATCACTTTTCCAAAGCTCTCTCACCAAGTCGATTTCTGTCACTTTGACACGGCTCAATTGAGAGTGGTGTCTGCAGCGTTGGCCCGCTGTCATGAGAGATCAAGACAGGAGAGGCTAATGACTAATAGTACTTTCTGCAATCATCTACCTTTGTTCTGCACTGAGAGACGAAACAGATTTCACAGAGTAGTCATATCATTATTTTACTTTATTTTCCATAAGTTATGTGTTTAATCAGCCTGCAAATTGATTATCTCATCAAAAATAGTTATAGGATAGGATACCAACCTACTCTAACCTTGCTCGTATTTTTTCACATTTAACGGTACACTGTAGCAAGAGAAAAAATAGGAATTAAAATCATTCACTTTTATGTTGCATACTGACAGTTGTATAAATCTTTTGTACTTACATAGAAGTGTGTGGAGGGTCTGCAGTTAGAGACAGAGTGTGGCATGCTGAATGCTAATTCTGTGATTGGGCCAGTGACCATGAAAGTAAGTGGTCGAGTTAGGATCTCAATCCTGTCAAGGGCTGTATTAAGAGTTATCAACTATGATAGTGTACATCTATCCACCAGACATATTGCAATGCATTATCATTGATTGCTGGAGCTAGTACAACCAATATGTTCTGACATTTACTGTAGGACATATCCTGTAACACGGGACAGAAAACATGCACAGCAATGCTGCGACTAAGAGGTCATTTAGGTTATTTGTGTCTGTTATCTTATCTGCAATGCCAGAGAACAGATATAAACATGAAACAGAGATACCATTTAAAGCCCAGACTGCAAAATCTGCAGGACTTCATTTGAACCATTTACTAAATTCACAGATAATCACTAATCAGCATGCTTCTAATCAGAAATTATAGCAGGAAGTCAGCTGCAGTTGGTGTTATAAAAGTAATTTCGCATTTTACAATGTTCTATTTGTTGTCAATGTTTTTCTTTGTCAGAATTTACGTGTGTAGAGAACAGGACACAATATCTAGAGTTTCCTAGTAAATCAATTAAATAACTTCATAAGATGCGGTACACTAACAAATGAGTTATATTATTATTTTCAATACTTTCTCCCTGCTCCACACTCAGCCGCTATTATATCTGCGTTATTGACAGTTTGAGTCATCCTCCCTTTGACGGTGGTGTTCGAGATAGAACAGGAGCACCTTGACCTGAAAGAAGGTGTGCAGCTGTCTTCATAATGACAGGCTCATTTTCACTTTAAGTGCACCATGACAGAGCTCCAAAAATAGGTGATCCACATGGTATTTTCCCAAAGAACAGAGGCTTTTTCCTGTTACACTGACATTCGTTGGATTTTATAGACTTAAAACTAAGAAATTCTTTAATTTTAAAGATCAACAGTCAATGATCATAACATATATTAAATGATGGTAGAAAATAGGCATTAAGGAAGTTGTAACTTCTTTTTTCTAGACTTAAAGTGTAGGGTTTGCTTAACTCCCGAACACAAACATCTTTTCACCTCTCTTTGTTTTATATCAGAGACATTTAGTTTAACATTACAACATGCAAATTTCATCAAACAGATGAAGGATAGAATGAAGAACTTCTGTGATGAGTTCCACTGTTTATTTGAAATGTCAGCAGTCTCTTTCAGTAGCTTATCCTACCAGTCCTCAAAGCAGAAACTGACTGATCCCCCCCGAGTGTGACTTTTACTCTATTCTGATGGAAATCAATATTTACGGTTTGTACTTCATCACCCTTAATTCTCTATTCTCTGCGTGGCCAGATCCCCACTCTAACACGTCTTCAGAGGGAAAAATACCATAATCTTCATTTCTGTCACCATAATCACTTGATCCATATAGTAATGCGGTCCATTGAATTCCCATCTCTCTGTCACTCTTCATCATAGAGCGACGGGCCGCTTCCTGACGGCAGATTGAAAATAAGTTGGATTCAGTCTATGCTCCTCTCTTAGAGTTATTCTTGGCTGCTGGAGGTTGGTAAAAAAAAACAAGAACACAGTCATGGATGTTGGGGCCCAAGTTGGAGCAGTGGTTTAGCTCCTATGACACTCAATCAGCCTGAGAAGCTTTGGCGATGTGCGATCAAACTGGAATAAACTACTGGGAATACTATTTTAGGTCATTTCGTACCGATCCGTCCTGTCTCGAGTGGATGTTCATTTCCTCTTATGCTGCTGTCTTTGACCTGACAGAGCCAATGAGCATCCAATGCCCACCTCCTCCAAGCACAACGATGACTAAAAAGCTCACACCAGGCCTGTCATCAGTTGTTTATGGAAATTATTTGAATATTATATGTGCAAGGTTATATTTCAGAATGACGACCAACCAGGTTATTTTATGGTATTGGTTGTTCTTTCTCTATGTTTTGCAAACCAACAGAATATAAAAGCACAGTCTCCTTGGTCAATGGTCTTAATTTATCATTGCACATTGAGACTTTAGGGGTTTGCAAAGTATGTAAAACGCTGACTTTAGCTTTTGAAGATTTTTGCCTCCAACAGAGTCAAGAAAGGGTCAATTGGGTGTTTTTAGTCAAAACCGAAAAAATCGTTAATGGCTTTGCTGATGGTCTTTGGGGGTCTTTTCTGGGCGTTTCTAATACTGCTGCCATGGTTAGCAACAGTACAGTAAGTGAACAGTAGTGAGGATTTGCAGAAGAAACAAGAAGGGAAGTTAATGTTCATATCATAGGGATCTCCTCTCTGACATGAAGCCCTTATGGCTCCATCACCAACGACTGCTCCTCATGGCTCCATATATGGGTAGAGAAATATTTTGCTGCTGTTGCAGTTTTGTTTTATAAGTGTGCATTGTATTTGCTCCTTTGCAATTCTGTTTCCATCAGACATGTAGTCAGTACAGTCCTTGAAAGTAATTGCTGTGAAGACAATTTTTGCAAAATTCTGGACTAAAAATCTGAAATGCTATTGTGTCATTGTCAAACCTTGCATTAAGCCAGTAGATGCATTTGGAGTGGAGTGAAGAATAAACATACAAAGTGCATCTGTGCAAAGATATTAAGTCATTGGAGCACCAAACCCCATTTCAACATTTAAACATCATTTTTATTTATCAGAGTTTCTCCAGATTGTCTCCTTTTTTTTGCCATTTTACAGATTCCCTGGCTGACAATCAGTTTGTGCTTTATACAAAATATATTATTAGGCTACATTCAAATGGAAAAATCTCATCTTATAATAAACCATCCCCCAAGATTTGTAAACAGGATGTTGTTTGTGTCTTTTGCTGTGACACTATTGCTCTCCTCCCCTCTCCTCCCCTCTACTCTCCTCTCCTCTCCTCTTGAGATGGACTTTTCCGAAGGATTTTAAAGTGCCATTGGTGGAAAAAGTGTGAAGGAATCAAGTTGTTTTTTTAATGAAACATCTGCATTTGAAAAGAATGTGTAAGAGACAAGATATGTGACCTACTCACTCACATTTAATTTATAAACTGCATTTAAAGGTATGTTAATTAAAGGTTAGGCGGTGTTTGGTCTGAAGGCCCTGTGAGAGGTTGTGGGTTTTTCATTGTATGCAGGTGGTGTACTCCTCGTTTGAAGGTGGACCTGATAAGAGATCCTTCAATCAATAATGGAAATATAGCAAAACAGGGATAGTGGTGAAAGCCAACCAAAGCTAGTGAGTTGCAAACAACATGCCCACACAAAAAGATCGCCTTTTCCTTGATAAGAAAACCCAAAAAAAATCTGTGGTTTATTCACATAAATATGCTTAAGGACCAGTAGCGGCCTCTAAAGGCTTACATATTTATTACATAATACAAACTATCATCCTGATGACTTTGCTGTTTTAGAGGGGGCAACATAGCATCAGTCTGTTATTCATAGAAAATGTTTGATATTCATAGCAAACGATCTGTTATTCATGGAAACTGTTTGTTATTAATAGAAAAGATCTGATTTTCAAAGCAATGGTCTGTTAATCACAGCAGCGGCCTGTAATATACAGCAATCGTTTTTTACTCATACTGCACAAAAGGAAGAGGTTAAATCTAAAAGTTTTTTCCTCCTTAAGTATATTTTTGCCTTATTCAATACAACTGGCATTCTGTGGCAATCTCATTGTTTTACTTCTCATGCTTTATATGAGCTGTAACATACCTGCACAGAATGAGAAATAATAAGCTTCATGAGGCT